GACTTAAATAAAGGGAGGCTGAGATGATTTTGCCTCCCACTAACTGGCCTCAGCTCAGTGCCCCTGTGTGTTTTCTGGCTCCCTAATTCTGCTTAATGGCCCTCAGAGCTTCTTAAAGCATAATGCATGAAGTGGCCTGGTCTCCCGGTCCCCTCCCTGCTGTAAATTCACCTCACGTTTCTTTGAATGGGCAGCTGCTTCCTTTCCTTGGTACCTGCTGCATAGTTTTGAACATCTCTGCCTCCTCCTTCCCTCTTGCTCCTCTGGACCAAACAGTCTGCCATCTTCTTTGCTAAGAGGAGTTCATAGAGCCACAATGGGGTGGGGCTCCCTGACTCCTTAGCGTCTTCACTGTCCGTCACCTCTGAGCGTCGACTCCAGGAGACGGCACTCTTACGTGCATCTCTCCACGTTTGCGTTGTCGTCTCTTTGCCTATGGCGGTGTCCAGGGCGTGCTGGCTATACCGAACTGCAGCCACGCTTAAGCTAGATAGTAATACTGATGCTCAGGTGCCTGGATTGAGCTAGACCTAGGATCTCAGTCGAGTGTGCCTCTGGGTGTGTCCATGGGTGCAGTTCTAGAGACAAAAGAGGAAAGACCAGCAGTGGTTGCCGGCACCCCCCCAGCCAGCCGCAGCCCACCCATAGCTTCCCTCCATACATGGGAGTTCTCCTGCTGCTGCCTGCCTTCCATCTGGTGCCCCGTGACCGCTCAGCTTAACCACGCCCTCCGTGCTGCGACAGACTGCAGCCTCTGAGGACACACGTAATAGTAACTCTTAGACCTTCCAAACCGTTTCTCTCAGGTATTTGTCCCAGCCACAACAGTGTTGACATTTATAAGATTCAAAGCTCTTGTCTAGTTTCCCTAGATTAACATGAACTAATATGGTGTCACACATTCAAGAAGGACAGTTTTGAATACCGAATAAGCAGGCATGTGAAGATCGTTCTCTCCAAGGTTGGATTTGAGTTTTAGCTCAGGTAAAAGTTTAAGGACTGCCAGCTTTGTTTTCCATTTGTACCTTTTTATCAGCTAAGCCCCATGTGGGCGACACAGGTCTGGCATATCTACCCTTGTTCATTCCTAGGTCACCGCCAGCACCTTGTGTATTTTTTTCTCTTCCCATTTACTGCTTTTCTGTCCACTTATTTCCTTCAGTAGGATAGTCTCTCGAGAACAAGATCAGCACCCTGTGAGTACATGATAGATGCCAAGCGGCACACACATGTCAGAAGCCAGCGGTCCATGGTAGCTCACGCCACCTTTATTCCCAGGGCTTGGAAGGCAGACAGGCAGGTCTGTGTGAGCTCAAGGCTAGCCTGGTGTACAGAGTGAATTCCAGGACAGCCTGAGCTACATAGTGAGACCCTGTCTCAAACAATGACAGTGGGGGTGGGGGAGACAGAGAACACAAGCACGCACTGGAGAATTTTGGAAGATTGTGTGAAACACAGAAAGTGGTGCCTTGCTGTAGCTCTATAACTCAGGTCGTATAACTTAACACCACAGTGGACCTGTGAATTCAGAAGATTCAATGATCTATTCTCTCCTGCCACCATTATTGATAACAACAATGAAATTTGTTCTTAGTTTGGGTTGCAAGGGAGTAAGGCCGCCTCTGTTCTGTGTGCAGGTCTCTAACCCAGAATCCACACATACGAGACTCTACCCTGGCCTTCATCCTCCATCTCAGAGTCAGGGAGCATAGTTTATACCATATTTCTTTGGACCATCAGATTCGAGAGTTACAGGAAGTAATGTGTAGCAGCCACCGTTTGTAGTGTCACAGAAGTTACTCTGATTTTTTTTTTCTCCCTTCAAATTTTTTTAAGAAAATTATGCTTTCAGGCTTAAAAGTAACTTCCTGTTCTATACATTTTTTCCTTTAAGTTAGCAATTCATTAATTTAAAAATGGTGATTTTGTCTTGAGACCATAGAATTTTTGTTCTCTAGTTTGAACTGGAGGCTTCTCTTTCCACGCCTTCATATTGCCAATGGACAAACTAAGGCCTGGATAGCTTTGGCATTGCGTTCAAGGTCATGGAGTCAGAATGAGAAGCAAAATTAAAATACAGGCTCCAGATTTTTGTTTTCCTTTATAATTTATTTCTTTTTCTAGTTCAGTTTTATGTGATACAGTATTTTCCTTTTGAAGCACACTTAATTTTTTTTTGATTGCAGTATAAATATAGTGGTGAGAAATGACATTTAATCCTGAGAGGTTTTCTGGTGAGGAGGGCTTGGTGCAGTCTACTTGCAAGGCGAGGTGTGAAATTTCCCTTCTATGAGATAAGTGCTCAAAATCACACCCCAGTCAAACCAGTCCTGGAGGGAGAGCGACAGGAAATGGAGTATAGGAGGACACTGTCTGGCGGGATTCAGCAGGACCCTGGCACAGTGAGTTCCTGTTCCTGGAGACCCGTCCTGAGCACAGGACTGTTTACCACTGTCCTGCCGGGGAGGATGGCAGAGCTGCACAGTAAACTCATTTATTTTGAGAGATGAAGCAATCGGCTGAGCACCAGTAGCTCCGTGATGTTACTGTGTGACTGTGCTCTCTGCATGCAGAGTCAGCCTGCTCCCTGGCTCCACTGGAGCCATGGGGACTTAGAAATGTGCAGGCTTAGATGCACAGGGGCCTGCCAAGCGCCAAGTGGGCCTCACAGGTTCACGTCTGGGCTCAGAAGGAGACCGAGAATCCTTATAGGGCTCTCGTGTGCACATAATTACAGTACTGATTTCATCACACCAGGAGTTGTGCCTGTGTGTGTCATGTATGTGCCATCTGTGTTCCCAAAAAGGTCCTTGAAGAGTGTGTGTGTGTAATATAATGATGTGTGTAAATCATGTATATGTTGTGTATGTAGCATGTATGTTCCTGAAAAGTTCCTTGACATGTGGTTCATCTCTGAATTATAGTTATAGTTAAGACCCTGAGGGAATTGTCAGTTAAAGCTATCTTGAGGTAAATATGGTAACAGAACAGTAACGCTCTTATAACTGCTTTGGATAATTACAGATTTTATAAATGAGTATTACCTAAAATTATCTTCAAATCACATTTTTCTGCCAAAGAGAAAATACTTGAAAACTTTCTTTTGCTGTGGTATAATCCATGACACCATGTGAGAATTGGGAGATCAAACTAAAACTCCAATTTGAAAAGACAGAGAATTGGTTAAAAGTGGTTTATGGTTCACTTCTGCCATGTCCAGCACCGACTGAGAGGTGGAGCCCTTGGGCCTACGTCTTGTCTATCTGTACATGTGAGTTCTCAAAGACCTGTGACTGGCAAAAAGTCCCAAACCCTAGAAATAGAAACAAGTACATTTAATATGACACTCCTAAGGGAAATTTTGATTAATCACATACATTTCCTAATGCTAATAAAATAAGTTGTAGTGGGGTAGGAGTGTGGTTGATGAGTGATACCTTGTCAGGCATATAAGGCCCTGGGTTTGATTACTGTACAACAAACAAAACATGGAGATTTTAGTAGACACACACACACGCACACGCATACGCATACGCATGCACACACACCCACAGAAGCACGCACATAAGCACGGACGCACAAACACACATGCACACATACACACGAACAAACACATGCATGCACATCTACCATACACACACACAAACACACACACAAGTGTGTGCGCATGTCTACTCAACTAAGGTAATGTAGTAAATGGCTTTTAAACTCCTGTTTTTGGAGTAAAGACTTACCAAATTCAAGGTTTGCTTTGATTTGTCATGAGGCTTTCTTGGACAGTCTGGCCACACTCTTGTGCCGTTTTCTTATTTTGTGCTGTCTGTTGCATTCGCATTCAGAAGTGCAGTGGTGTGTGATTCACACTAAGAACTCGGAGAATTTACCGCAGAGGTGGGCAGGTGCAGGGATCGGGCCATGGGCAGAGGAGACAGGGTTCTGGTTCTAGAGCACTGGTGCCCAGAATTCCTCGTTCTATGCCTGTTTAGCACAGTTCCTCGAGCTGGTGGGGTGACCCTCAACTGTAAAATGATTTCATTGTTTCTGCATTTCTGTAATTGTGCTACTGTTATAAATCGTGTAAATATCTGATATGTGGCCCCTCTGAAAGGGGTCACAACCAACAGGTTGAGAACCACTGTTCTAGATCTCCTCTTTGGTTCCTTTTCTGTGAACAGCCCAAAGCAATACATCCCAGAATTGCAAAAAGGTGGAAAATCTGGGAATGTGTCTGCTTCTGTGGAGTGGCCGTCTTCTTGGCCTATCCTGGCTTTTGTCTGTGTAGCACAGGTCTTGTAATGGGTAGGTTTCTACCGAACTGTCCCCGTGGAGCAGACTACCCAGGCTTTGCCCAGAGTCTTGGCTGCCTTTAGTTCTGAAGTCACAACCTCTGGCTAGGTGGGGGAATAGAAGAAGCCGCCACAGGCCAAATGCCACTTTTCATGCCAGCATAATTTAGATTCTCTGCCACAGAAAAGAAGTTGTGGAAAAGATTTGGGTCAAGGCCTCCTAACCTGTGCTTTCATTTTGAAATTATTTGAAATAGAGGTTCACGGGATGCTGTACATTCAGAGCATGGAATTCCGTGGACTGTTACCCCAGCTCTCGTCTGTGGGTTTTCACAGAGGGCCTCTTGATCTGTCAGGGGCTGATTCTTTGAGGACCAGCTGGAGGTAGGAGAACAACTCACTGTTAAGGTGGCACTGGCTTTGTCAGGGGTCACAAATAAAGCCATGATATTATATTTAAAAACTGTGACCCTATCATACATTAGTCCAGGATAATACTTGGTTTGAGATGGTAAAAAGTTAGTAATTCTTGTCATCTTTATGAATTGTTACCCTGAAAAAATCAGCTTTTTTTTTTTTTAAGGTTTTCAATTTAAATTAGAACAAAAATGAAAACAGGTGCGCAGGTGAACAACGCGTGTGGCGTTTCTGTTGGTAGCCCTGCCGTAGTCAATGCCGAGTCCAGGACTAAGGACTGTCCCTCTCTCTGTGTAGGTTCGGAAGCACGTGAATGATCTCTACGAAGACTTGAGGGATGGCCACAACCTGATCTCCCTTCTGGAGGTTCTTTCTGGAGACACCTTGGTAAGTTTGAGGCTTCCTAATTCATTTTGCTGAGCAAATAGTTGTGTACACACATGGCCAGGGCATTTGCAGCATAGACTTCTGGTTTTCTGGCATTTTCTCTTCAAACTGTGAGCTCAGCCAGAAGAAAAGAGTGCATTCTGGTCGGTTGCTCCCGCATCCCAGCTTCATGTGATGTGAATGTGGACCTGAAGACACCTTTGCTCTTGTGATAGGTTCCATAGTTAACCTATTATTTTTCTTTTTTTGCTTTGGTTTTTTTAATTTTTTTTTTTTTAACCATTGGGTTGTTTTGGTTTTGCCTAAGATAAGTCAGATGCACAGTATAACCAAACTTGGGAAGGCTCAGGCGTAGCAAAGAGGTAGACTTTCTGAGAGCTGGGCTGCCCCCGGTGTCGTCTCCCTGTGTGCTCATTACTCCCGTCCTCCGTTCTCGGTTCTCCCTCATTACGTCCCGCTCATGCTCTTCTTTTCATTCCCGTCTGTCTGTATCCTTGCTGTCCTGTCTTCTGTCTGTTATATTCATTAGCCAAGGGAGCGAGACTTTTTGAAGACCTTACGGTTGGTGAGTGCAACAGCAGCATGCGAGTGTGAGCAGCATGAGGATGTGCAGGATGAGGACAAGGGGGTAGGTGTGCCCCGTAACTCACTAACCCAGCAGGCGGTGTGTGCAGTGCTAACCTCACAGGCCAGGAACTCACCGGCTCCTCCAGAGAAGAGGCAGGAACCCAACCCCAGAGCAGGGTGGACGCAGGATCGTTTTCTCTTTAAGTTTATCTTCAGAGCTGAAATAACTGATGTATTTATGCATCACTGTGCCCTGCTACTTTACAGTTTTTTACACTCTGCATAAACTTAAGAGTCCTGATAACTAGTAGTTTTTATGCATTCATTCCCTTCTGAGATTGATATTTCAGTCATGACAACTCATTGCTCCTTTTTGTGGGAAGGGGGAGGTACAGGAAGATTTCTATTTAGTGCTGACAGTTTCCTTTAACTCATACCCATTGGCATAAGTGGCTATTTTTTTTTAATCTGTGGGGTGCAGAGGGGACAAGTTTTAAGTCTTGTATCCCATAGACTCCTCAGGGTGTTCTAACTGAACTGGCCCTTAGCTGACCTAGGTCAGCCGCCTTTGCAGAGAAAGAGATGAGCTTCTTTGGTCATCTGCATCCCACTTCCCTGATTTCCTTGGAAATCATGCTTTTCTAGATCCTGCTGGTGAATTTTCAGCATCGTTTCTATCCTTGTACTAAATTATTTTTCCCTTTTATGCTCTGCTGTCTTTTATCATGGTAACCTGGATGTCAACAGCTTGTATTTAAGAAGGGAAGGAGCAAGTTTCTTCTGCATTTTTTAACTCTTAGACTGTTTCATGTGAAAAATTTCATCCACATTGTTTATATTTCTTTTAAGCATTTTTTTCAGCTCTGTTCCTTTTTCCCTTTCTGCTAGTGTGCACTAAGGAAAATGGTAGTAGAGAAAATGACCGACTTGACACTTTTCCCGAGACTGGGAAAATAGTCACATCCACCTATCCCAGGCAATGCAGCACAATTTCCGCCCATGTTACACCCAGCCTTGTGCAAAGGCTGGAATAAAATACAGAGGAAAAGCATTCCATAGTGTAAGCTGCGTTTTCCTCTCCTTATCACAGCTAAATAAACCTGTCTTCCCCTTTAGTGTTTTTTTTTCCAATATACTAATTGCATGTTATTTTACCTCATTTTATAAATCCATAAGTACAATTAGAAAAACTGCCTTGCTGATAGTGCATATTGAGAAGGTAAATTGGAGAATTAGCTAAGCACCGGTTGGCCAGGATTGCTCTGTTAGTGAACATCACAGGGGCAGGTGGTCTATAGCTTTCCTTTTGTTTAAGTGAAGCATCTGGGATAAAGCTTATGTTTAGAATATATTCAGGAAAAGCCTCTCATACTCGAAATTCGGTCCCAGATAATAGATAAAAGTTAAAAAAACCTCTTTAAAAAAAATGTTGGGCCTACCTAACAGATAGTTAAAAAATATTAAGATGAGCAGAAGATATATTTAGGATGGTCACTGGTGTTACAAGCTGTAGTGTTTTTACTCCTTCAATTTTCTATCCTTAGCCCAGGGAGAAGGGCCGGATGCGCTTTCACAGACTACAGAATGTACAGATTGCACTTGACTACTTGAAAAGACGGCAGGTATGATATTTTTCAAACTTCAACATAAGTGGTTAAATAAGTCTGCCTAGGAATGTGTCAGGGAGTGTAACTATTGTGCATTGTTGCTGAGGCAAATATTTAACAGTGTTTTGGAACTCCTGTTGCTGAGAAAAGAAAGTTCGTATTAGTTCATTGTTAAGAACAGTAAGTGCCTATTTCCCCTTGAATAAGCAGGGCCGGGTCTCCCTGGTGGAACGGGAATGCATCTGCCTCTGCAGGTAGAGACATTTGAGTAGCAACAGGGTGTCAAGAAGCCTGTGGAGCCTCATGGCAGCAGTGAGGTGACACTGTGGAGCCTCAGGGCAGCAGTGAGGTGACACTGACTCTTCGCACTGTGTGTATTAGACTATCTCCATAGTTTACACCCTGCTTCTAGGAACAGTGCTAGCAGTGTGTGTACTTACCGTGGTCCAACAGGCCTCTCTTTGTTGTAGGTAGGTCACTGGCTTGGTCTGCTTTGGGCAGCCACCACAGAATAACTGGTGCTGTGTAATTCATAAAGAACGGAATTCATTCCTTGTGGTTCTAGAGGCTGGAAAGTGAAGATCAAGATAATAGCACTTGGGGTCTGGCCAGGGCAGCCTGTATTCTCACACGACAGAAGGGACAAGGGTGGAAAAGAATCTCCCTTGCTCCATTGTACCCTTAGATAAGGAAGCAAAGTGTTCAACATAATGACATAGAAGTCTTGGTCTTTGATTCATGTTCCTAATTTTATATAAGAAACGAATGTTGGAGATCATTACGTTTATGAATCCTTAGCATCAGGCCTGAGCATTGCACTACTCTTTGAGTTTTCGTAGCTTCTAGATGCTTGGTGATTTAAATGCAGATGATAGAAAATATTGTTTTAAAAAAATTCTCTGTTGTAGATGTACAAGCTGTTAAAATTAGTTTATGGTTCAGACCATTTTCTGCTTGGTTACAAGGGCAAAATAAGCTAACATCAATAGAAAGTTGTCCCTAATTTTAAGACCATAAATATTTATCCTGGCCTCATCATGTATTTTTGTGTTTGGACAGAAGATTATCATCTAGCCCAGGGAAGGGAAGGATACACTGTATTTTGTGATCTTTGCCTTATTTGTGTGATTTAGCATTTCCTTTACAGGTAAAAAGAACTTGTGCCTCGTTCATAATAAACACTTTGTTTATCTCTCTTTCATCCGTAAAACAGGTGAAGTTAGTGAATATTAGGAATGATGACATAACTGATGGAAATCCTAAGCTGACTTTGGGATTAATTTGGACAATAATTCTGCACTTTCAAGTAAGTTCAGTTTTTCTTCATTGCTGTTCTTATATCTTGGGTCTAGTTTTCAGGTGGTTCATGAGAAAGTGTTTTACATCCTCTGAATGAAAAAAAAATTCAGATTAATTTCATAAAAGTGCCTTCGCTGTGCTTTCTAATAGCACTGCGAGCCTGGTGTCTTGTCTCTTGCTGTCCCTGAGTGGCTATATTTGACTTTAATGGTCTTCTGTTGTAATCTTAAGAGTTCAGATATAAATGTAGATATGTATATATGCTAAATGTAGATTTGATTCTTTTGTGGTTTGGGCAGTATTACTTGTTTTAGCTATTTAAAGATTTTATGACTCGAATCTGTGTTTAAAGTAATTTTATCCCTATTGTAAATAAATTAAATTTCCTTCACTGGCACTAGATGGCAGTAGAAGTGTTCTGACAAGCCAGATGGGTTCCATACACAGCTGTGCATTGTGTAACTCTGAGGACAGAGATGCATTTTTAAAGAAATCTGTAATTTGGCGTCTGGTGACTCCCCTTTGTAACACGCTGAACTTTGTTAACTGCTCATAATCTTGCAAAATTTTGTAAGACCCACAGAGTCCTGTGTAGTCAGGTCTTGAAGGAAGGAAATAAGCAGCTCACTACCTTTAGAAAGGAAGTGAGATTTTAAATTAAATCTTTTTTTTTTTTTTTTTTTTAAGGAGGAATAAAATGTGTTGAAGTAATACTGGAAAGTGAAGGAGCTTGTTTGGGAATAGGATCTAGGTCATATGGAAAGGTCTGGAGGGGAAGGCGGCTAGGAAGCCCCAGGGCCTGGTAGGCAGTGGACTGTCCCCGCAGTAGGGTGTTGGGGAGCTGGGCGAGAGGGACACACAGTGCTAACCGCCTGCCTGTAGGACTGCTGATGAGGTCAGGGCAACCTTCAGACAGGGGTCCACAGCAACACGGTCATCTTTACTAGAGGACCCTACCCTGAGAAGGTCTGAGACCTGAGCAATAAGTCAAGGCGTGTGGGACTTAAATGGAGGACACAGCCAGACTGTGTCACCAGAATTGTATGAAATCTAAGGAGAAAGGATCCAGAAATTATTTTCACGTAGAGTGCCCAGTTGGTATCTCCTAGGCCTGGGTGGATTAGATCCAGGACTTTTGAATTAGGGTGGAAACTACATGGATCCCAGATGGGAAAGTCCCAGGCCCCTCCCTGGAGGGAGCTGTCTACTTCATCACACAGGTGGGTTGTGTCTGAGGTTTAGATGGACTTCACTGGGGGGCAGTTGGAAGAACTTCAGAGGAGGGGAACAGAATTTCATTCTCGGCTCTTTTACTTTCTTGTAATGGCCACTTTAAGCTAGAGAGAAAAAAGATTGTGTTTTAATAAGTAAAGCCTGGGCTGGCGAGATGGCTCAGGGGGTAAAGGCTGACAAACCTGAAGACCGTGGAGCCCGTGTGGTAGAAAGAATTGACTTTAGTAAGTAGCCCCCTGACCTGCCAATTGGACACCAGCATGTGCACCCCCTCCAATAAATAAAACGTAATAAAAATTTTAAATCAATAATTCTGTGCCAAAGAGTTAGAAATGAAGTGGTCTCAGTGAAGGGGAGAAGGCCATGAAACTGAAATGATTTCAGAGGGGAGGGATGTAGGCCAGGTGGGGGGATAAAAATTGTATCTAAGAGGTGACATTTTGGAAAGAAAGAAACTTGGCCACGGGATATAGAAAGTGGTGAAGAGGGCTCAGGCTAAACTTCTTAAGATGTCAGAAAATATACTGTCAGATCTGGGGTGGCAGTAAGGGGAAAGACGGTTGACCTTCTGGATGGTTTTGAGTGGGTTGTGAGCTGTCCTGGGTGCCATTCTGCCAAGCAGGGCAGACCTGAGATGCCTCAGAGGAACAGGGAATTATCAGCATAGAAGTGGCTGCTGCTCTGTCAGAGAGAGAGGGGGTCCTCAGAGGAATCAGGGGAAGGACATAGACAGAAAGGACTGTGGAGTTGAGGCCTGGAAAGGGCCCATGATAACTGGGGCAGGAGCAGGTCTTGCTGGGGAAGCAGAAAAGAAATATTCAGAGGGATGGGTAAAGCCACAGGAAGAGGAATTGGTGGATCCACGGAAGGAAAACGGGAGTGGAAAAGGATAGTAAACAGCCTGAAATGGCGCCAGAGACTCTGGAGAAAATGCTCCCCAGCTACTTGCAACAGGAACAAGAATGTGGGTAAGCGTGGATTAAAGGCAGCATATATAGACTCGGCATTTGAGGAGCGTTAAAGGCTTATTTACGAAGTTACATGTTCAGTCAGCCGTGGTACTGCTTGTGTCTCAGCATCTGGGATTAGAGCGGAGGGATTGAAAGTTTGAATATGGTCGTTTGGGTGAAATGTAAGTGAACTAAAGCTTTTCTTAGTGGTGTGCTGATCATAAGGTGTAACTCCTTCTGCATGTGCCCACAGAGAAGAGGGGCAGTCACCCTCACCCAGAAAGGTGCAGCCTTTTGTTTTTCCATCTGTTGCATAAATAAGGCAACATTGGTGGAAGAACAAGTGGTAGGGTTTTAAAATGCTGCTGTTGAGCATCACAAAGTGGAGCCATTTTCAGTCTGGCATTCGGGAGGTAGGAATTATATTCCTGATAGTCTCATGTCATAAACCACTGTATGATGGACCATGACGAGGTATGCTGGGCTAGCTGTTAAAGTATGTTTTAAGTTGGTTGTAGTCAAGGGTGACACATCTACGAACAACAGAAATACAAATGGAAGTGTATGAAGAAAAGTTTAGGGGCCGTGCTGGGCGTGGAAGGGTGTCAGAGAAGAGGGCTGTAAAAGGGACCAGTTACCAGGCAGATGCAGAAGCTGAGCCATTTCTGGAAGGGAACTGTGCATGTGACCTAACCATGGCCAGTTGCTTAGTTTGGCAGGGCCAGAGGGAAGGGTGGAGGGAGTGCCAATGAGGGCTTGCTTCTCCACCCTTCCAGTACAAATAGCAGCCATTCTACCACTTAAATGATGTTCCATTGCCTTTGAAGACATTGAAAACTTAACAACCAACAAACCTGAGACTGTTTTTCTAGCTTTCATCTAAGCTATGTCACTGGATAATGTTTAATTTTCTTTTAAAATAGTTAAGAAAAGCCTTACAGTACAGATATGTTACAGACATCGGCAGCACCGGTGTCAGCTTGACCACTTGACCGGCCGTTCCTCCTCAGTAAAACGCACTGAGTTCCTTTTTGGTTGGTGGAGGACCACCTTTGGAAAGGCAGTCATCAACTTTCCAACTCGCTGTGGCTTCTGTGTCAATCTCGCATGTTAACACTGATTTCCTGTGCACTGTGTCTATGACTCACTGTTAGAAATATGCACAGCTCGGAGTATCAGTCTCCATACTGACTTCTTCATTTTCCTGTTAGAAATATGCACAGCTCGGAGTATCAGTCTCCATACTGACTTCTTCATTTTCCACCATGACTCTGCTAAAGCTGTTTAATATTTAACCCAAGTGCAATTACAGCGCGTAAAGTTTAACTGCCGTGATGTATGTGATGGAATGTGCGGCGCGGCCCTTGCGTACGTGTTCTGCCTTTAAATCACTCCATTTATTCATTTGGTCATGTGGTGATTCAGTGAGCAGATAACATAGAGATTTATTATTTGAACAGCATTTCATGCCATATTATAAGACTGGCATTAGAGATGCTTAAAATATTTTTGGCATTCAGTATTTATCTCCCCTTCATCCAATTATTGAATCGTATTTTTCTGGCTTTTTTTCTAAATTAGTCTTAACATTAGAGACTCCTAGGCTTTTCACTGGATTTACGTGTAAGCCCTAAAATCGTCTGATGGTTCAGGCTCCCGAACTTGAGTTTGAAAGGCACTTTGAGGCTGAACTTGAAGAGTGCTTTGTTGATAAGTCTGTTGGCTGTGTTTACCTTCTGTTTGCTTAGCTTCAGAGGTTAGTGCAAACGTCGGTAGTGTGTGTGCGCCTTTCAGAAGGCACCGTGTTAATGTGCGGGTCATAGTCTCCGTAGTGAACCTCAGGGTTGGCCTTGGAAGCTCACTGGTGTCTGATTTGACCGCGAGCAGTCATGTTTGCCTGAGAGGACGGGTGGCCAGGAATAAAGCCACAGTGCCTAATAAGACACAGAGGCTGCCTGGCCCGGTGCCACAGCATTTCTTGCAAGTGATTTTCTCACACGCAACATGGCTTCAGGCTGAAGAGGATGGTCGCACAGTCTGCTGGGAATTACAGGTCAGAGTGGAGTCTTGGGACTTGATGGAACCGGTCCTGGAAGCCCCGGATTTTGAAATGAGTGAGTTTGTGGAGCTGTGAGTGCCTGTGGATCAAATGGGGAATGTCTGCGGCTGTGTGCGGGCTGAGAAGGAAGAGCAGTATTTCGACCCTGCCAAAAGTCCCCTGAGTCCTGAAAAACACTCTCCCGGAAGAAAGTATTTCAGAAGAAAACCGTGCCAGAAAGCTGTGGGTGACACTGAGCCGGTGCGGCGAAGCAGCGGGAGAGAGGGCGAGAAGGGCGGTGGTCAGCCTGCTGGGGGACAGCCAGCTGTGTCATCCAGAGGACTGGTGCCAGAGGACCCCGATGCAAGCCCCACACGGGAAGATGATGTGCAGCCAGAGACAGCTGCAGCAGACCTCGGGGAGCAGAAACCTCTGCCCAGTGCTGTGGACAGCTGCTCTTACCGAGCGACGCTCCCCTCTGTTGGGAGCAGAGGCTCCGAAGGACAAGTTAGTGCCCCGGACAAGATAGTTTCAGAAGATAGCCGGCCGCCTTGCACAGAGAGGGAAAGACATCCGGATGATGTCAGCACAAAACAGGGAACATTCCAGAGAAAAAATGATGCTTCTCTTTCCCAAAAGGCAGCCAGCTTAAGTTCTGTTCTCTGTGGCACAGAGAAATCCCTTGAAAACAGTGTGTTTGTGGGGAACCTTTCAAAAAGCTGTGGCAGTGTCCAAGAACAGTACAGCACCGAGAGAGTTCACCCTCATGCAACACACCGACTTCAG